TTTGTAGGTAGGAAGCAATTTATTTGTCATCTCCCTCTGGCGTGCGATATGGTGGATAGTGCAATGTGTTCTGATGGGCTGTCTGTGAGAGACAGTGTATCTGTGATCTGAAGAATGTCAAAACCATGTGCAGCTGTCAGAAACTGTTTATCTCCGTCTGCACAATGACGGGACAGATCAAGGAGGGCTTTGACGGAACTCTGAAGAGCCGAAGATAAAAGTATTGTTTTTTTTGCAGTTTATAGCGGAAACGGACAGTTTTCTTTTTCTTCAATGAAGTAATTTAATCTTTGCTTGTTGAGGGAGTTTGGAAAAACTATTTTTTTTACAAGAACACAAATGGAAATGTAGCTATAGAATGACAATCTTTTTGGCTCCTTTTCTTTTTAACTCTTCTGTCTTTCTGTCTTTTTGTCAACCTGTCACTCATGCATACAAACTCCCTTGCACACACACACACACACACACCCACACACATTCAAATCGGTGCACTCTCTGGGTGATTGGGATCGGCAGTGGTGTCGCTCTGGCAAAGTGACATAGAATTTAAATTGGGTGTTAAATAAGCATTGCTCTGCTTGATTGTCTGGCCAACTTGGGAAAGTGGGAAAGCAGTGAAGGAGAGTGGGCTGCTCTCACTCAGGCAGATATATGAAATTGGGGTGAGATTGAATTAAAGCGTGAACAATAAGAGATATGCTGGTTGTGTCACTTACCTTGAATCATTTCATCAACATTATGAGAGGCTGATGAGGCCATAATTCACACTTGCCCTCTCCAAACCTTCTTGATCTAAAACACTTTCCATATTGACCTCTATATTGTAAATGTGTGACTGAGTAGAGGTGTAGATGAGACTGAATAATAGTTTATAAGCAGGTTTAAACCTTTTCACACGGTAGCCACATTGCTTTAATTTTATGCTGTGGCCGGGAAGCGGAAATGTTTGAGCTCTTGTAAATTCAAAATCTATGAATCATTGTCATGAAAAACCCTCAATTAATAGGGAAAGTTCAGAAGGTCAATAGGCCAAATATCAAGGCAAAACCACAGACTGTAAATATTAATGGACCAAGCCTGGGTGACATCAGCCATCTGTTATGGCAGGGGGCTTTGGGGCTCAACGGTAGCCGCCGCCATGCTGGAAATTCTGTCTCAGCCTAACTTTTAGTCAACCTAACGACAGGCTTTGAGCTGAAGCTGAGGCGGGTTTTAAGCCTCTTGACGAACCGTTACATCACACCCACCTGTCAGTCATGTCAGCTACGCGCCTAACTGTGGATAACACGTATCGTTTTCAAAATCAAAATGGAGCCACAGTGTGTGCCAGTGATAACAATAACTAATAAGACCTTTAGTTTTTTGTACCAGGCTGTAAACATGTTTATCTATGCTGTAAAAACGGCTTTTTTGCCAGTTGTGTGTATATGACTTCTGGTGTTCCTGGAGCCAGCCTCAAGCGGACACTCGCAGGATTTTGTACTTCATTTTTCAAGACCGGAGGTTGCCACTTAAAAGTCAAAATTGTATAAGCTATTAGTTAGCCACAGCTAATTCATGACAGCATACTTTAGCTATCAAGCAACTCCTGGCTTCTTTACTGGCAGTAAGCCTGTATGTTCATTTCAATCAGGAATTATTAAGAATTGAACAATTATTTGTTTAACAATTTAGAAAAGATAAATGTGAGTGTGTAATGTCTTTCGCTATTAACTCCATCATGATGACTTCATGCACTCGGAGGGGTAATGAGGCCGACAGCAGGATAGGATACCCCCCCCCCCCCGAAGTGTGTAAGAGATAGTTTAGCTTGAAAATATTTTGACTAAAAAGAAGGCAGCTGTAGCTCGTAGCTTCTTGAAATCAAAGCCTTTGTATTTTTACCATCAAACTCTCTCTCTTACAATTATTCGAGGCACACACACACACATGTTCAAACTCAGACTCACACTGTCTTTCTCTCATGTGTAATATGTTATATTATCCTGTTTCACAGACTCGAACATTTTCAGTCACTTAAGTAAACTATCACGGGGGAATTATCTGTGACTAAAAATTAAGACTGCAAGTAATAGGAGAGTGTGGTGAGTATAAAAGAGTGTTATCAGGATATAGTCGTTTGATAACTTGTGTAACATATGGCCTAATCAGCCTCTCGTGTACCCAGGCAGACTTGCCTTTTACAGTCCATCATGTTCCCTTTGCAGGGAAGTTCATGCTTAGATCACTTCTGTTTGAAATGACCCTTTGGCAGTAATAACCTCTTGTTTTCTCAATTTTGTAGCAGACTGATCTTTAGCTCTCTGATCTGTTGTTATCTTTTTCTGCCCACCTCATAGTGCTCAAATGAAAGGCCAATATGAGGCGAAGAAATACCAAGGGAACAGACAGTATTATGTTAGTAAGACTTTATCACTGTCATCTGTTACCTTGGAGATGCTGACTGTACTAATGCTATGCTCAAGCATATCGATCAACATTTATAATGGGCCTCGCAAGAAACCCTTCAATGTGCATATTTGTGCATAAGAGGCTTCTTGAAGTGATTTAAGAGGATTTATTGCATGCACCAGTTTTCTCATGGTGTTTTTCCACTACATATACTTACCGACATCATTTACAGGCTGTTCAAGTCTGCAGTGTGCCACAAACATAACCTGTGCTGTTATTGAAAAGGTAAAAATCACGTTATAGATAAGTAAAATGTATTGACATGAATTAACTTGAATTCATCTAAATCTAAGGGGTATCTACTGACTACTGAGGGGTTCAAGATTTATTAACGCAAATTTAGTTTTTTATCTTAAAGAAAAATGCTCAATAAAAGATGCTCATTAGTTTATAACTTAGTCACAGCATAATGTGACAAAGTAGTTGAATTTTCTATTTTCTTCTCCTTTTCATTCTTTGGGGATTTTTTGTGAATAAACATTTCCTGCCAAAACAGATGAACATGCAGCCTTAAATAGCAATTTAAGGACTTAAACCTGGTTCATACTTGTGCATCAAATGTACGTCGTAGCTACAGCGTATGTGGCATACGCCCTTGTGAGTAAAACATTTTGCGTTGATGTGTCCGTGTGAATTCAATACTCCCCCTACGTACACTATTTGGCAGTTTGATTTTGATGCTTGTTATATCGCCATTTTTTGGTTTCATCACGTTCTCTGCTTGTTTGTGTAGATTCATAAGTCAGAAAACCCAACACACAAAAAATTTGTGTAGTTTGAAGAATATTTGTGAGATAAAACATGAGACAATTCCTGTGGAGGCCCAATAGTGAAATGCCAGACTTAATATTTTAACAGCTTGATCCCAAAATGTTTTGTCTGTAGCTAAATTCCCCATTCATATTCTATGTGAGGTTAGAATTTTAAATCACTCACCTTTTTCTTTTTTTTTTTAAATACTTGATAATGATGGTGACTGAAAAAAACATAATCAGACATATGGTTTTGTGTGCAGGTTATTTAGCCTGTTTAAGAAGTCTGGGCTCCAGTTTTAAGTGACTTCTAAAAAGTATGGTGGCACTGAAAAGCATCTTTGGCTTGTTGACTGGTTTATTGATTCTGAATCATGCTCTCCTACTCCATCTCATTGTCCTAATGATGTCACCTCTGGTTCTAACATCTAATATTGCCAGGGCTATAATGCAAACCACGACTTAGAAAAAAGAAACAAAAATACAGTCCACAAACCTGCAATTGACGCCATACAGTATTTGCAATATACAATATATATTTTTTTATTTAGTGTTTGGTTCTTGCATTATGCCCATTTCAACTTTAAAAGCAGTACAAAAACACACAAGTTAAATGTATAGTTTCTTTTCAACGTAGGCTTTCAGAGATGTAAATATTAGTTTTTTTTACACAGCTCAAACCAGTTTGATATTTCCATAAAACAATGGGAATTTAGTTAGATTAACGTCTTATCTTTGTTTAAAACAACCATAATTTCCTCCTTGAATTGTCATTTTATTTCCCCATGTTGCTGTTGGTATTCTCTTGCTTTGAGAAACTAGTTCTGGGATCAGATCAGCTTAACAGCTCAACTTAGTTTGATACTTCAGAATGAATGGCAACCAAACAGTCCAGCTGGACATGGCCCACCTGGATCAGACCTTACCCCAACATGTCCCTCCAGCATCTCATTGTTCGGTTATTTTATCCCCATGGAAACCTTCCTACAGCGATGGCTGGTGTAAAAGCCTGGTGTTTGTGGAAGTTAGGGGCCTGGAGGCTTGTTTTCTGTTGTTTTCTCAATTCTGTTGGACCCTGAAAGGGTTTGTCTGGAGGCTGATTTACATGTCAAGGCCCTTCTCAGACCTATGTTCCCTACCACCCAGAGGAACAAGCCTCTTAGACAGCTCAATCTAGCCAGGACCCAGATTTGGGAAACATTACTGTTTGCCCGTCCATCAGTTCTTATCAACACAGTGAATAGTCTACTATGTCTGTCTGCATTTCTGCATATCTTACTGTTGAAGTGCTATAGGGATATTTTTCAGTGCAAAATGACTCTTTTTAGTAGCAGCCTCTCTTTTTTAGGCTTTTCTTCAGCTTTCCAACCTCTCATTTCTTTGTACGCGACTTTCTTAGTGCTGATGCTTGCTTTTTTCGGTCTTTGTATGAGACACTGAATGCCTCCATCTGAAAAACAGCAATTTCCCTGTGGGCTCTGATACCTGCTTGTAGGAGTCTTCAGAAAAACAGGATGATGATCGTGATGAATACCTGCACCTGCTCCATCTGCCACAATTCACTGTTCAGACTCTATTAGATCTTAAAAAGCCAGGATTTTTTAACATTTCCTGCTTTCTGCTCTTTCAGTTTGAAACGTCTCATATTCTCCAGGTGTTTCTCATCTTCTTCAGCCATCTCCGATTGTGATATTCATGCTTAGTTCTGCATGTTACAAATATACATTTGAACTTGGGGCTGCCCCCAACAAACTTCAATCCTCATTGCCTCCCTCTCTTCTCGTTCTCTGTGTGTAGGGCGAGCATTGTGCAGAAGAGGATAATCTATTTCCAGGATGAAGGCTCACTCACCAAGCGGATGTGTGAGAAAGGTGGGTTTCTTTTATTGACATGGAATAAATCATTTGCCATGAGTTTCTTATTCCTTCGATCTCCCTGCTGTTACTCAATTTCACTCCCTACTGGTAGTGGATTTTTTCATTTCTTGATTTTGATGCAGGGACATTCCTGTCCCCTCTTCTACTTTGGCATGTGAATAATTGTAAATGAGTGCAACCCCTGGCTGTGCATGACATTGGAGCCGCACTGAGCAATAGATCAAACAAACCGAGCTGCACATACTTCCCATTGCTCACACACACACACACACACACACACACACACACACACACACACATAACACCACCACTTGGGGACCACCCTCATCTGATTGTGATATATAAAGATAAATATATCAATGAGAAACCTCTCTTTTGTATCTCTATCTTCTGACATTTACTTCCTCTCCCTTCTCATCATTTCTGTACAGAATCGATGTATGGGGACACTACAGATAAACCTCTGCTTGACTGTTGTGCCTGTGGAACGGCAAAATACAGAGTCACCTTCTATGGAAACTGGTCAGAAAAGATTCATCCCAAAGACTATCCACGTAAGTACAAAATCGCTGCCCTCTGACACCACACAGGGTTTGGGATATTCTGTCGATTTACGGTCTTAATAGACCAAGTGGCAACCTCAGAGTGTTAAGGAAATGAAGCCAGTGCAGATCTGCCAAAAACTACAAATCCATGATTAACATCTTCAGGCTGGTTAAAGCCTCTGGTTAAAGTCTCCAATTAAAAAGCAGAAATAAAACATCTAACATAATGTTTTTCTATTTTCTATACAAAACCAGTGCAGATCCTCGTTTCTCAGCAGAATAAAATGCTCTCTGCATTAGATGTGTGTTTTTTTTTGGCTTTGCTTACAGTTCTGCAATTTGTAAAAGTACAACTTTTGGAACACAAATCAAAAGCTGTTGCTAATGGAAATTTCTTTAAATAAAAGCAATTTTAGCCACACAGCTATTTAAAACAGGCTTAACGCTAATTCAAAGAGAGGCAGCAGTGCTACAAGACAACTTTTGCGACCAAGTACGATTAAGCGCAGGGGAAAAGCACTCTAACATACAAGTTGTGGGCATCGCCAGTGGAGCTAATGACAACTGTACATGGGATAGGGGATTTTTCTCTCACTCTGCTTAATCTCTTGGCCATGTTTGTGTTGTTTGAGTCTTTCGAAGACTTTTGTCATGCATGTATGAGGTATTGAAATCGATATCCAATATCTGTGCCACATTCTTTATTGGTAGGTAAAAATCTAGTATTATTTTTAATTAACCACCAACTAGCAGATATCGGGTGACAGCTGTCACCATAGCTGGTTAACATTAGTTATTTCAGTGACATCCTATAATGATGTATTTGTTTAGAAGACATATGGGATACATGTTGTTTGCTTTTCACTGAAGTGAAGCATAATTGGTGTATACTGATAAACCATTCATATTTGACCGTTTCTTGTAATTTACACGACTCACTCTCCCTCAGGAAATGGAGGCGAGCAAGTTGCAGGTTTGATAAGTTCCAAAGCTTTTCTTAATTTTGTCTGGTAAATAGTCAGCACCACCTTATAGGATACAGTTAAGCCTTTTATAACAACAAAGTTTGCACTAAGGAAACTTTTGAAAAGATTTTGGTTTTGATGATATGATAGAAAGTATGGAGAAATGGAGGACAACGTTGATTTTGATCTTTTAATAGGATTTGTTGCCAATAGCAAAAATACAGATAATCTGAAGCCTCATCCTTTAATCTAGATTGTTGTACCTCAGCCCCAAAAAGGATATGTTCCCAATATGTGGGTGGTTTAGCCCCCATACAAGACTCTAAATAGTGGTGTGGGTGTTGCAGAATGTTACTAATGTTGGTAGTGATGTGTGTATAACCTTGAGCAACACTATCAGGATGCGAATGGACTTAAGGATTACACTGCCTCTCTTGTCTAAATCAGGCCCTCGGCAGTCAGATCAATACACTGATAGGACTGGAATAAGATAAACCCTGAAATCGAAAGGAACCCTAATTTACTGTCTTACAGAGGGAGTAGTTGGTTCGTGACTCATTCTTACACACAGGTTCACAAACACACACACGTCCAGATAAATCAACTTTAACGAGGATGGGGCAAGCTGTACATTTTGGTTCCCATCTGTCTCCCATGACGCTATATTTGGCTTTCTTCATGCACAAAGTCATTTCCTAGGCAACCATTTGTTATAATACTTTGACTATTACACCAAACAATATTAATCAATGAATACAATACAATAAGCAGGAAATTATCTAATTTGTTATATTATTTATATTCACTCATATGACCTTTATAATAATTTCCAATCAAGGTTTCCAGGTGAAATAGTAAACGTCTCACAACTTGTTTTTGCTGCCAGAGAATTGACACTTTTTCCTCTTTTTTTTTAACAAAACTTCTTGAGAGTATGAGTAGTAGACCTTTGTGATGGCAAACATACTGAGACAAAAAATCAATGTAAAACAGGCCCCAAGCCTTTTTTTCAATTATTCCTAACATAATAAACTTGACAGTTCTATTTTCTTTCTCCCTTTTATCACTTTTGTTAGTCATGCAACCTTCATGTCTGTTGAACCCGTGCAATTACAGTCGAACATAGACTTTGTTGCTGGAAAAAATGGCCTTGTTTTTCAAGCAGAGTCTGAAAACTTTAGTCCATACAGCTATTATTTTTGAGAACTTCAACTTCTAAATAACAGTAAACGTACATCAGCAGTTATTCAGCTTTTTGTTTTAGCACTACAAAGTGTATTTACTTGCATTGACACAAAACAATGCTATATGTTAGTGGCAAAGCGATGTCTAATGCAGTTAATCTTTGCAGCTATTTTAGATTTATTCATTGCCTTGGTCTTAGGACAGAAATGCTTGCTGGCCTTGTACAAACTGTGTCATTTTGACCCTTTATAGCTTTAGTCGATGACAACTCAAAACATTTAAGTCTAGATTAAGTCAAAAGTCATAACAGTTCAGTCATTAATCATTGAAATGTCAAAAACGTTTTCACTATTTAAATTGATTCAGTTTGACTGACAGTTATCAGACATTTGTATCAATGTGGCAGGTTGAATAAGCAGTTTTATAGCCTTACAGATATTTGAAACACTTAAATAAATGCATTTCAACACATGTTAAAGCATCTGTAAAATGTATAATTGTAAACAATCACAGGGAGTCTATTACTGCACTTTCACTTTAATGAAATGACTTGTATTGGAGTGCTTTCACAGTGTGGTAAGAGTGGCCAACCTTTGCCACAAACAGCCTTTAAATACATATTTAGCAAGGGAAGCTTTGACCTCTTACGGTAACTAATGATACCATATAGACATAACCTACTCACTGCTTGGGCAGACATATATCATGCCAGGTTGTGCTCTCTCTGTCCCTCTGCTTCACTAACACACACACACACACACACACACACACACACACACACACACACACACACACACACACACAGTATTTCTTCCTCTTTTCTGCCTCTTAATGCCACACCTGCTTGTGTTTTGACGGACAGATTAACCACAGTGAGGGAAAATATCATGGAAGTTGAATGTCTGATAGACCACCACTAACATTTTCATCCTGTTTCATCTTGTTATTAAAGGAGGAATATGCATTTTTTCACACTTAAATGTAGCAGAAATCAAGTATATCCTCTGAAAATAAAACTGTGAGTCGTGACTGTCTACAATGAGTGTAACACCTGAGTCCCACTGTCTGTGATGATTTCTGAGCTTTCCAAGCCGTATCTACACTTTGTTTACATCACCAGCTCCTCCCCTTGCGTATAAAAGTTGTTTAATTGAGGGACTAGAGAAATGAAGAACGACATACTGTACTCACTTCTTATTTGAATGTCACGTAAGCGTTTCTAGATCACGGTCATTTCGGGTAAATTTACATGCAGTGAAAAAATACGAGCATAATAAAAATCGCTAGCATTAGCATGCTAACACAACAATGCAAGTTGTTTTGGTTTCATGCTGGTGCTCAAGGGCGACACCTACTGGATCAAAAAGTTGCATATTATTCCTTTAAACAAAACATACATGTCGTCAGAGTTTTTATTATCAAAGATCTATTTCTACCTCGTCAACATCTCATCTCTGTCATGGAAACAATGTAATCCCTAATTTAAGTAAAACATTGTTTAAGTCAAATTGCTGCTGCTGGAAACCATAGTTTACCTGTCTGCATTACCTGCTCAACAATCTCTTTTGAAATGTTATGTTGCAATGTAATAAAATGTTATGTAAATGTTGTAAGTTAAATATCTCTGGTCAGTTTTAGGGGTTGTTTTAAATTCCACCTAGTTGGATAATTGGATTGGAGTCCTATTATCTATTAGGGTTTGTAAAAAGGGGCAGGTATACCCTTATCAGGCTCTGTATTCTTTACAAAGCTCATAAATGATCACAGATCAAACACAAACTCCTAAAACATACAAACATGTCAGCATATCATCTCACTGCCAGAGATCCCTCCAAACCTTATCAAAAAGTTCAAGATGGGAACCTGCCATAGCTACGACCTCAGGCTCTTATCCCTGCCAAACTGCATTATAAAGTGGAAGACTGACTCCAGGTTGTGCCCACCTTTGTAGTAAATATAATACCTCAGGCCAAAACATCCAAATGATGGATATAAATCAGCAAACAGCAGCCATAATGACAAAGCTACTAGAGCTTGGCAATCACTCCTGCCTGTAAAGGGGGAGGCATTTCTGAAGGCTTCAGACACTAATGGCTTTAAAATTTCATGAAAGGCCTAAGCAAACTATTCAACCGTATGGTTAAAATGAGATTTGGATAAGGGGAAATTGGGAAATGCCATCATCTGCTTCTGCAGTCTTTACTTTATCATAAAGTTAGTACAATATTTACACATATACAAAGATGGAAGAGTTTCAGAGGGGAGAGAAGAACGTTCTTAAATAAATATCATTCGTTTGGGTTTTTAGCCTGAGAACAGTACCTATAAGAACTGCAAATTGCATTGGGGACTAACAGTCCACATATCACGCTTGTTTGGTATCCCCATAACAATTATTGCAGTAAAAAAAAATGGAGAAGTAAAAAATTGTGACCAAAACGTCTTATTCAAAAAGGTCCTAACCATGCCTGCTTTGCCCTATAAAACACCATCTCCACTATCTTCTACACTACAGTACAACAGGAATACTGCAAACACAGAGATGGATATCAGAGTGATTAATCTGTGGCCAGACTTACACTTGGAAACCAGCAGAAGGCAGAAAGGGTGACTTACAGAACTGCAGAGTAAGAGCTCCATTTAGGATACCAAGATATGAGGCAGACCTAGACCAATATGGGTGAACCTCACCTTGACTGAATGTGTGGTAAAGTTGATATAGTAAATGATTGAAGGATCCTGTTGGGACTGTAAAATCATTGCGCACTCAGGGTGATGTAGTTTGATGTGATTCCAGTCAAGCTGCATAATGACATACTAGGAAGGGGAATCATATGACAGCAGGGGAGATAATGATGGGATATGAGACAACCAGTATCTGTGCTGGTGATTTAGATATGACAGACCCTGGTGAGATAGACTGACTTGCCTAAAATGGCTTCCAAACATTAACAGGAAACCTATCAGTACCTGATAAACTGCTGTACTCTGCACATGATTATGCTTTACATAAAAAACAGAGCTGGAATATTGCCTGGAAATGAACTGTCTCTAGGTTATTTGTATAAGGTAAATGTTTGCTTTAGCCTGTGCTGTAACTTCTGATAGATCAGCATGAAGACTAAAACTGGTGCATTCTCCCAATCTTTCCAGTTTTTGAGCTCGATTTTCCCCTTTTTTCTCTCAAAATGAGGATGAAGATTTAAACAATACACTGGTGGAAGTTTGCATTAGTAAACAATAAATTGGGATTTAACCAATGCACTTTATGTCAATTAATATGTTTAACCAAAGTATGTTGTTGTTCTGTCAAAGACAGTAATCACCTCCCAGATCCAGACTGGCACCTAATTGATTGGATCCAGCACCTCCCTTGTCGCTATCAAAATCTCTTCATAAAACTTGTGTAATGTTTAATGTTATGTGTTCTGACGTTCTTTTATTTTCTCCTTTCCTGCATGTCATTCCCCACTCTCTCTTTCCCCAGGTTCCTACTCTATCCACCTCCTATCCTATCAGATAAAGGCAAAAAGCCCCAAAAATACATCTTTAAAAAAAGGGGGGAGAGAGCGAGGGGTCAGATTGCGGTCAGGTCATGTAGGGATGCCTGAAGCGGGAGTTTTGTCCATGTCACCAAAGCTAAGTTGATGTTACTGTCTGCAATGATCAAGGCAGAGAGATCCATGGTAGTTTTGTGGGCTGTTTTGGCCAAATAAATAGGGTATATTGTTATTCTCTGCTGTGCTGCTGTTTGGTGTTGATAATGAATAAGGAGAGCGACGAGATGATGAAAGTGTTGCTGTTTGTGCAGGGACATGAGAAGTAGGGGTGCTGAAGGTGTTGCAGCACACCTAAAGTCAGGCACAATTAAAACCATCAGCTTATAAAAACATTTCAACTCAAATTGTTCCTGCAGAGTGATACAGCTCACAGCAGGTTGGAGCTTTTCTATCACTGCGCACAAGTGAGGTGTTTCAGAGCTTTTCAACATAATGAAAGACTTGTGATCATCCTGTCAGTCAGAGCAGCATCAGTAGATGTGTCTCAAAATTTTGTGGTTGATTATTCTTTAAATAGCTACAGAACAACCTCTGACAGGGAGACGAGCTCATACTGACAAGCGAATGTGAGAGTGTGCCATTGCGCACAGAGGTGGAGAGACATAAAACACAAACTTCAATTGATCATTTTGATTGTTTCAATGATACTCAGTTTATCATTGAAGTGTGTGAACAACACTGCAGACTGTAGTCTTTGTTAGCTGGCTGATGCAGTCCATGAGTTCAGGTGTATGTCACCTTCACGCCTCTGTTCATAATAAATTATAAGTAGTACTCTAGTACTAATTAGAATGAATAATCCTCAAGATTTAAATATTTAATTAATAAAATATGAATTTGCGCAGCACATAGTATGATGTTATCATGTAGGATGACTTCTCTCAACTAAAAACAGAGCGAGGGAGACAGATGCACACCATGATTCTACAAGCTTCTCTCCAGTTGATTTTGAGCAATTATTGAGATTGCTCTGGAGTGACCAAGGCACTATCCATTTTTATGCTTTCCATGATATTTTGGTCTCCACCTGTACTTTACAAATTAACCACTGGTCAACAGACTGATGTACCACTCAATCCACGGATCATAATTGAAATGTCTAGAGCTGTACCTCTCTGCTAACTCAATAATTCCAAAACAGGTTTTTGTTCAACTAAGGATTTTTTTTTTTTTTTGTCTTATTTCACCAGGTCGTGCCAATCACTGGTCAGCCATTATTGGTGCCTCCCACTCTAAAAACTATGTGCTGTGGGAATATGGTGGCCTTGCCAGTGATGGAGTAAAACAGGTGGCTGAGCTGGGCTCCCCGGTCAAAATGGAGGAGGAGATCAGACAGAAGGTAAGATTCTTCAGCACGACGAGCTGGCTGATGTGTCGTTTGTGTCTTACATAAAGTAGAATAAAAAAGGATCAAAAGGTCCTCCAACTGATGAGAGGAGTTGCAAAAAACAGCTGGGGCCTCCGGAGGCTGTTCCACGGTACAGGCACACCTGAGTTCAGTATGATATGACAGTGTTCAGTGATGTTTTGAGATTGTTGTCAAGATTTATTAGTGCTTTGAAGCAGCTACACTAGCCTGTCGCTGTGCTACAGTTTTCTCGTTATCAATACACAGGATCTCAGAGTAACTTGTTTGAAGTGGTTTGAAAGCGAAAAGTCAACGTCCAGAGGAACCATAGAAATGCTTCGCTGTGCCAGAGGCAAAACCCCTACGTAGACCCTGTATAAGAAGTTGATATGGCCTCAGAGAGTTTCTTTGTCCTGCAATTTCTCTTTAGGCCACTTGTGGTGAAAAGGTTGCAAAAAGAAGTACGATTACAAAAACAGACCCAAAAAAACTACTTCTGGCTGATCAAATACCTCCATTTTTTTTTAAAATGGTCTCAATTAGGGCCCGACTGATATGGGATACTTTGGGCCGATACATTTATCGATATGGGGGAGAGAAAAAAATCTGATACCAACACGTCAACCATTTTCTTTCTTAGATCTATGTTTGATCTGTAGAGACAGAAAGATGTAGAACAGCACATTTATTGAGTTGATCCCTAAAATGTAGATATCAAACTCTCGTGGAAAAGATGTACAGTATAACGTAGGCAAGATGGTAACTCACGTATGTGCATCACCACTTGACACTCTGGAAGGTGATGATGCTTGTTGTAATCCATATTGCCCACTCTGCTGGTAAAAGAACTGCTAGTGTATTACAATTTTACTCAAATGAAATGCTGTTTGACTATAAACAATTTGTTTGTCTGTTTGATTTATTCACCATAAATCGAGTAATATCTGCGCATATATGCGATAAAATTAGCCGATACCAATAATCACTGGATATGCTAATATCGGTCAGTATTATAGGCTGGCCAATTGATCGGTCAGGCTCAATGGCTAGATCTGTGTTTTCTGCACAACATTCATTTTCCCAATTATGGTCCCATTTAGAGTGAAAACGATGATAAAGCAGTGTATACTATAGGGCTTGGGAAGCTGCAAGACCCTACCATGGATATCTGGAAAAGATACATAGCAAAAGAAATCCACCCTGTCATCCAAAAGTGGTCACTTCTGGTTCTCAGAATCCAACATGGCAATTAAAAAAACCTCCAGAATTCAAGTCTTCAAATGTGGAGCCCACAAATCAATGGGTAACATCACTGTGGCTACATGCACTTGTTTATAATATGGATGGTCTCTACTTGAAGGCCTAAGTGGAATGTTTTTTTTCCAAGTTACTTTTCTTAACCCCCTTTACATATTCAGCTTGCTTTTGCTATTATTTGTCATTTACATATACTTTCTTTGAAACCAATTCTCTCTCTTGGCGTCTCGTCTCTCAATTATTTCCACAAATAGCACAATACATCTTTTCCTGTTCCGTCATCTCCATGGCTGTCTCTCCCTCATTCGTGCTGGCAGAGCAGATGGTCCTGCAGAGTGCTTATTGTTGGCTAATATTGAAGACCTGGAGTCACAGCAGATAATGAGAGCATAGTGTGAGCAATGGGGTCTCTGTGTCATTGCCGCCTTCCCACTGCTACTAGAGCACACTCTTTTTTCGCATTACTCTCACGTCTCTGCCTGGATTATTAGATGAGATTTTCTCTTATCTTATTAGGAGTGAATCTGCCCTATATTTAATAGACCCTAAAGTAAGTGTGCCATCAATTTTAAAAGTAACTCCTAATTTAATGTTGTGTGTGAGAATTACACTTTTAAATCATGACTGGTGAACTTGGAATAATAATTTAATTTCCCACATAATTGATCATGTCTTCTTTCCAAGATCTCAGTTATGTGAGGAAAAAATAAATAAATTCCATGTGTAGGTAGAGAATGATTTACTGTGCCAGTTTTCTTTCTCTATTATAATGAACAGATACAGAGAAATGATCGCGCAGGAAGAAATGAGAGACATTTCCCGACAAGATAGATTTAATTAGCACCGGGTTTGGCAAGGCTTAAGGCTAGTAGCGGTAGTTGTGAATAACCGCTCAATAGAGACTTAGAGGATTGGCTGACACATGAACACAGGGTGATGATTACACAGGTGATCTATATCAACCCTGATTAGTCTGATACTAGAGAGCTGTATGGGATTATTCTCTGCCTAAAAAATGCCAATGAATAATCAGCCATGTCAATATTTCATATGACGTGCGTTTGCCAATTTGTGTTTTGCACGTGGACAAACAGTAGTATTGCACTGAGCCTTCATCTAACGTGGTTTCTTTGAGGTTGCCTTTCACAGCTGCAGTGAAACCTAGCAGTTAAAAAGATCTTTTGTAGGCTCAGACAGCTACTGCACACAATAACTGTGGCCGGTCTTTTTAACTACTCGGACAACACACAGAGTCTGTCGATGCCCTTGAGGTAAGGGCTGGGTGAAGAAGACTCCTTCTTTCAGGCCGAGCAGAGCGTCTTTGGTAAACGCTGACACAAACAGAAAAGCTGATTCTCTTTTGAGTCAGGTGGGCCGTCAGGGGGGAGCAACCAACGATAAATGCAATATTGATATTCATAGCCAGGCACCACTCCAGCTGAGGGGGTGCACTGATCAGAGTGTTCATACAAAGTTTCATTTGCAGAGTCAAGCAGCCATGCAGACCATGCAAACATCTGCACACACACACACACACACACACACACACAGACACAGACACACAGACACACACACACACACACACACACACACACACACACACACACACACACACACACACACACAGTACCCTCTGCATCCTGCTCATGTCAATTGAGAGAGTGATTGCTTTATTTTATTTCTAGTTTGTCACCCTTTCGAAGCGTGGACAAGGGGGTGCTGTACCATCTGTCTTTCTGTTACTTTTCATCCGATGTATGTGAAATGTGATATATGCATGTCCTTGGGAAAAGAATACATTGAATTGGAGCTTAGTAAACTGCGACGGAACAGAGAGCAGGGGTTAATGTCTACCTTTTGATGTTGTCCCCTTTAAAAGACCATTATCAGATAGAAAAAAAGGAATGAGAATGTTACTCACTGAATTTGCCAAATCTGACCTGCCATTACAAAACAAGCATGATGTTTGGTCAAACTCTTTGACGTATTCCTCCATGTGACCGGCTGATAATAAAAAATTATTGCATGTCAGAGCCTCCTCAAACACAGCCTTCACCCACACAGTCTCAGCACCTCTGCACAGCACACATGTAATCATGGCATCGTACCTCACACCACTGATCATATTGAAACAGCCCGAGAACAAGAGTGTGAGCATTGATGTCCTTTTGTAGAATTCATATATTTAAATGAACAACATAAATTGCAACATAAATTGCAGCATTGTTAGCATTAAAGGGGGCTTGCATTGGATTTTGTCGCCTAAGATGCAGATCAGATGTTGATGTTTTCTTGTGTAACCCTCTGTTAGGGAGTTCATTATGTTAAAAAGTTGTTAAGTCTCGAGGTTCAATGCATAGTAGAGATAAAGAATGTAATCAGGGATCTTTTTTTTAATATAAATCGTTTTGCCTGACTGTAAACAGATGTGCATTACTGTTTCATTTACCAAATACAATTGCTCTTATCAGAGGACTCGGTAGAACTCGGATGCAGCCTGGGTCCATTGTTGTTGTCCCTCCTTTCATGTCGGAGGTGATTTGTATATGCATTGAGTCATTACAGAAGCTCAGTGTGTCACTAATGAGAAGTTTAATGAGACTCTCTCCATGGACCAGCGACCGGGGCCAAGGCCTCAGACGGATTATGAAATCTCCCATTTCCTCCCGCAGCACGGGGAGTTTTTCATTATTGCACAGTACGGATACTTGCTAAACCCTCTATTATCCCGAGCAGGCAAAAGAGCAGAGGCAACACAAGTCAGGCTGAAGGCAAAAAAAGACACATTACAGGTAAATCGCAGGAAATACAGATCCATTTCACATGATGCTGCAGTTTTACCAAGAATACCAAAAAGCTGCAAAGAAAGTGAGTCCTGTGGCACTACTAGATTAATTGTTCGTATTTTTATGTTTACTGATTCTGTTTTGCAAATTGCACTGCTTTACTTGTATTTCATCCCAATTAGTCTTGCAGGTTGCTGAAAGCTCTTTAAGGATGTGCAAAGAGCATTGAAGCTTATTCACAAGTTTGGTTTGCATGATGATGAACAACAGGTATTATGGTGTGAAAGCTAATAGTTAATCCTTCTCCCTCTGCTCCTCTCCCTGTGCACCCTGCAAGGATTCATATGATAATTTTGTAGTTCAGTTGTCGAGAGAACAGTGAGGTCTGCCATCTGTAAGTGGGAGGTCTGCAGTCAGGAGCGTGGGTAGAAAATAATAGATATGCAAGGTTCCTTTGGGTCTTTTGACTCTCACTCTCACAATGAGCAGGTGTGTATGTGTGTTTCTTACTCACCGCACAGAAAGCTGTCTCATTTGGTCTTTTGTGAATACCTCTTCTTGACAAGGAATAAATGCTATCAGCATTTATTTTATTTACAGAAAATGTGTATTAATTCAGTAAAGCCAAAGTGTACCGTTTTGATTCTGGGATCTCTTGACAAAGACTGTTTAAAAAAAAAAAATGATTACCTGAATTTATTTTATTTTAAAGAGTCAACCAATCCACTATGATTAGTTTTTTTCTGTCCTTTTTGCAGGAGATCATTGAGTTGTGCTTTTAGACATAAGACTGTTTATAAGCAGAGGAGCATTTAATCTGTATTCTTGTTAATGGCCAGCAGGGGGAGCCTTCACTGGTTGCAAAAATTAATAAGCTTGATTGATGATGCTACATGAGAAAATGACCCTATTTCCCACTTGATTTATTAACTCGGCAAGCTTTTTTCC